AAAGAGCCCCTCAGCCCACCGCACTGTAGGGTTGCCAGCCTGCTGGTGGGGCCTGGAGATCTCCCACTTTTACAACTGATCTCCAGCTGACAGAGATCAGCTCCCCTGGGGAAAATGGCTGCTGTGAAGGGTGGACCCTATGGCATTGTACCATGCTGAGGAACCTCCCCTCCCCAAACCCCACCTTCTCCTGGATCCACCCCCCAATTCTCCAGGTATTTTCCAACCCAGACCTTGTCAACCCTATCACACTGCAGGCCTTGCTGCATTTTAAAATCACTTTAAAATGGCAGCATCATCTACAAGTCGGTCACATGGGAGCTGTCACATCTAGTTTGGCCCTGTGATGTACGTTACATTAAAAGCATCTGCCCTGGCTCATTCAGAGAACTTCATGGCTGAGCAGAGAGTTGACCTCAGATCCCATGTTAAGCACTGGCTGTAATGCTCTGATCTTCTGTGTTGTGTCTGTATAAGGCACAGACATATGACTAATTATATCTGCATTGCCTATCTGTTCTTCTACCCCTTCTCATGAAGTCTCTTATTGAGAACATTTCTGGAGGTAGAGTGTACTGCCTTCTAGCAGTCTTCAGCTGATAGACTGGAAAATATTACAAAGTAAAGAAAGTTAAAGCTGCTCCCTGTCTCAGAGCTTTGGCCTTGAGGACTGACAAAGCCGTCATAATGTTTAAAAAGAAAATTTGAAAAACCCCAATGGAATGGCTGAGAAAACAGTGATGCAGCACAGATCAGAGAGATGATAAAGGGAAAAAGAGGAATTAACTTCAATCAGGGGAGGCGTTTGGGGGAAGGCAGCAGATCAAGAATAAGGCAACTGGAGCAGGTCGGAAAGCAGAAGGGGGGGAGAGGTGAATTTTATTTAGGCAAACATAAAAATCTGAAGTCTCACCAACTTCAAATTAATATCACAAATTGGTAATGAAATCTGTTCTTTTGATGTATTTGCACTGGTCTAGCTACGCTTAGGTTCAGACCCATAAACACATCTTGGCACCAAAAAGTTTCAGCTAAGTATTTGTGAAGGAGCCCATGTGGTTACACAAAGAAATGCAAAGCGAATGGCCTATCTGTAGGAGGGAGCAAAGCATCCAGGACCTTCAAATCTACAGCTAATACACACCCTCTGGGCATGCACACCTGAGGGCTACAGGTGATGCTCTGTCTCCTCCTCATAGACAATGCCAGAGCCCTAGCTCTACTCTCTGCCACGGCCAACAGACAAATCACTGCTCCCTTGCCCGTTTCTTCCTTTCCAAATGGTTCCCGAAACAGCAGAGACAGGCTACCCTGATCTGGATAGCCAAGATTAGCCTGAACTTGTCAGACCTCAGAAGCGAAGCAGGGCCAGCCCTGGCTGGTATTTGGATGGGAGACCACCCGGGAAGTCCCAGGGTCACTACGCAGAGGCGGGCAAGGGCAACAAGGAAGTCCAGGGTTGTGACACGGAGGCAGGCAATGGCAAACCACCTCTGAGTGTCTCTTGCCTTGAAATCCCGACGGGGTCGAGAGTGAGAGAGAGAGAGAGAGAGAGAGAGAGAGAGATGGGCTCCCTACTTGAGAATCACCTGAAGCCCCACAATATTATTTACGTATTTTCTATCCTTTTAATAGCATCGTGTTCCTTTTCTTTGAGGACCAGGGAATTTGTGCACTAATGATATAATTAATCCTGTGCCTTCTCACTCAGGAACAGAAGAACTGAGCTGGAATCACCCCTTGAGCCTCCCTAAATATGAGTTTTATCTCCTCAGTCCCGATTTTTGCAAGAAGATATTCAAGTAAGAAAGGCTGCTTCATATATTTAGAACTGATTCTATAATTAGCCTTGAGAATGAGGGTATGCAAGGACAACAAACTAAATAGGTATCAACGAGTATTCTCTTTCCTTAACTTTCATGAAATGTGCATATGCCTTCTGTTAACATTTGCAGTACTAGACTTCCGGTTAATGGCGGCGCGCTAGCAGACTCACCTCCCGGACCTCCCAGGGGTGAAGCTGTGCTCCAGCCGAAGGAGGGGGTGAGCTTGCTCGTTAACCCCCCCAGGGACCCGGCGAAGGGACCCTAACCATGGAATTTATAAGAGGTTGCCTCTTCGATGGCGGAATGCCGGAGAATTGAGGCGCCTCTTCGTTCCAATGGTTCTCCATGCTGAGAGACCGAATGGACTTAAGTGACGTCGACCGGGGCAAGCGCAGGAGATTGAGCGTCAGAAATGAAGTCAAAACGAGGTCGGAAGACCAATTATGAACGTGAGTCAGTTTTAAAGCGTCTGCAAAGGAAAAAGGTAGCTCCCCACCCCACCCCACTGAACGGGAAAAAGGCGAGCGGGGGAGGGACGCCTCCCATGCGCATGAACTTTTGAGCGTTTGAGGGGGAGGAGCGGAAGAAAACGCGAAGGAAACTGTCTAGAAGTACTTACCAAAGCGAGTTTAAGCGTTCAAGCGCACATTCAGAGATTTCTAAAAAATTTGCGAAAGTAAACAAACGATAAAGACGGCGGGGAAGAAGGACAAAGAAAAACTTTTGAAACCGAAAGGGACTGAGAGCTCGAAACCGCAAGTTACCAGTGAGTTGGCTAAGACCATAGCAGAATCCAAGAAAGAAAAATAATCTGCCTGGGGAAATTGTCGTAAGATTCTTGAAGAGGCATGTGAGGGACGCAATCCTGAAAGAATTTTCTGGAATATCCCTGAAAGTGGGAGAGAATGCCATTAGAGTTTTAAAAGACATTCCATTTGAAATGACAACGGAGAAAGAAGTATAAAGATCTCATGCTTTTTCTTCAGACAAATTTAATTGGATATAAATGGCTAATTCCAGAAGGCATCACCTTCAAAATCAAGGATAAAAAAGAAAAGATTGACTCTGTTCTGAAAGCTCGGGAATTTTTAAGAGTCCAGTTGGGAAGGCCAGAGGATGGGAAAAAAGAAGAGGACAGTAAGTCTAGTGGCGAGCTGGACTCGGGTTCTTCCAGAGAGGACTCTCTGGCAGAGCAAGGGGCAGCAGCCCCAAAAAGTCCTTACAAGTTGTGGAAGAGACAGGGAAAGGAGAAGTGAAGGCTGAAGGACTCTGATTTGTGCCTTTGAGAACTTTGAAATGTGATGATTGGGGGTACTGTTCTTAGACAGTTAAGTTTAAGATTTAAAGAAAAGGGTAAAAAGTACTATAAATGTTTGACTCAGTTTATAATGACATAAAAGAAGGGAAGACTTGATGTAATTAAGCTATTGATGATCTCCTCTCTTGGGTTTTTAGGTAGTAGTGGGTTTCTTTACTTTATCCTGTAAATGTAGTTCCCCTCCCTTTTTTCTGTGTTAGTTTTGTAGTCTTATAAAAAATAATAAAAAATCCCCTCTGGGGGCTTAAAAAAACACAAACATTTGCAGTACTACATAAGCACTGGAAAGAACTACATTCCCCCCTCAAGCATGTATTTTTAAAGATGGGCTGCTGCTTCCCCTGTGTAAACTGGGGTCAAGAGAACACAATTTGCAATGGAGAAGTTCCCTCATCCACCAATTTCTTCCTACTACTCCAGCGGGCGAGATACCTGGACCATCATTCACTGCTCAAGGAGACTCTGCTGGTGAAGTTGCAAGGAAAAACTTGAACACTAGGGAAGGGCTTATTTATTTATTAAAATACTGTCATGCACGGGGGCAGACTAAGAAGTTAAAATGGCCCAGGGACCAGGTTAAGTCCAGCTGAATGACCTCTGTGGCACTATAAGCCAGCACTGCAGGGGCTACTCTGCTCAGCCTGGTTGCAGTGGTGCAGGAGTGGAGCTGACACCCATGTATGAGACGAGTTGCCCCCCGCAGCAGTGGCAGAGCTACCGGGGTTTGGCTCTGCTTGCTCCTGGCTGCCAGCAGCCCACCCAGGCAGCAGTCCTCTGGGAACATTCCCTGAAAATGGCCAGTAAATTCCTGCTTATGCATTCCCTGCCTCTCTGAGCAGGGAGAGGCTCTCCAGGGGCAGTGCTGACCTGGTTTGGATCCCCTTAGAAGAGAGAACACTAGAAATGTATGACATTTTGTAGGTTTTTTTCTTTATTTACAAATATCCAAAGGGAGCGCAGGTAGAAGCACAGAGGCACCCTACAGGACATCAAATCTCACATCAGATCTGAGAGAGAGAAAGAGGTCCTTCATCTTAAAGTGCTACAGCAAACCCACAGCAGTGTCTGTCTGCTTCTCTCTCCTTCTCTCAAAATCTGGACTTTTCGGTCTTCACACGCAGACCCAGATCAGTTCCTTCCCTTCAGCTGTCCCATCCTTTAAGCTCTGCTGGCTGTTTGGACAGAGCCATTAAGGTCCATTAAAGAGATCGGGGCAGATTGGGAGGGGGAGATATGGCCCTGGGAAAAGGGTCTTCCCCCCCCAGCCTGCCTTGGGTCTGTCCCCGGCATCTTGGGAGGAGGGAGGGAAAGCCTGCCTAGCCAACCCTGAACAGGAGGTGCCCAGCCAAGCTTGACAGCTGGGCAAAGTGAGACTGGGCAAGGCCCATTTTGTCCCTTACCACAGCGATTCCCGGGTGTGGGCCTGTCACTGCTTCTCCTCTCTCCTGAGCCAGCAGAAAAGCTGACAGGATTCAAACCCAATAGGAAGCTAAAAACCCCAAACTCCTTTAAAAGTATTTGAAGAAAATACATTTTAAAATGCGAAGTGTCTACTTTACCAATAATCCTACACACTCATATTTGTACACATGGCAACCCGAATGCTTGAATGGGGAAGAAGGATTATTGCTGATTTAACAATTAGGCAGAACACTGCCTGCATATTAGCCTTTGCATCTCTAAGTAAAAAACTAGGGACTTACTTTTCTCCTTATCCTACACATACAGGTGTGCCCGTACAACCGGAGACGCCTGGGAGAGGAAATAATTTTAAAAGAGAAATGCCAAACAGTCTGAAATAGCAGTATAATAATACAGCTTCTCCCAGCTCCTCTTTTCTCCCCCACCCGCCCCAGGGCACCCTTGTACCAACTCCTTACATTTGCACTCGGGAAGAAATAGAAGACAGAAGAAGGAAGAAAGAGCTGATGGGGGCTCCAGATGAAAAGTGGGAGGGCAACATCACCTGCCGTACCCTGGATAGCTCAGTCTAGTCAGATCTTGGCAGTTAAGCAGTATCGGTCCCGGTTAGTATTTGGATGGGAGACCACTAAGGAATACCAGGGTCACTAGGCAGAGGCATCTAATAGCAAGTCACCTCTGAACATCTCTTGCCTTAAAACCCACACAGGGTTGCCATAAGTGGGCTATGATCTTGACAGCAAATAAATGAATAAATAAATAAATATTCTCCTAAACTCCACATAATACTGTAGTAAGCAAAGGGGATGGGAATGGTATTACCCTGGTGACTGGCATACTCCCCTGGTGATTTTTCAAAGTCTTAATCTCAAGTTTATTTCTTGTTACCTAGAGGACACACTTTTTATATCAACAGCCTGATCCTACGCATAAGTACATTGCTCTGAGTTCCAAAGGTCTTAGTCCCTAGTATGAATGCATGAGACTGCAGACTTAAGCACCACAAAAATGTATTTTTTCCAAGTAAGTTGTACAAATCTAGCTTCTTCACATAATAATTGTCTACTTTTTGTAAGCCAGAATGTGTTAGTAAAGTTGTTAGTCTAGTTGTTGTTGTTGTTGTTGTTTAGTCACACAGTCGAGTCCGACTCTTTGCAACCCCATGGACCACATCACGCCAGGCCCGCCTGTCTTCCGTCATGCTCCGGGGTTTGTTCGTTGCATCGATAACACTGTTAGTCTAGTACCAGATGTGTTAGTCTAGTACCAGAGTGCAGAAAGCAGCTTTCTATCATTTAAACAGGTACATTTGGAGTACAGCTAGAAAGTCTCTTAAAGCAGCACAGTGACAACCTATATAGATACCCCTATCAGTTGAACAATGGAAAGAATCCCAGGAAAGTAACCGAAAACCACTTCTTCCAGATTACATGTAACACGTGCTAGTATCTGGATCAGAGTATAATATAAACGAAGCGTTTTTCAGTTGCTTTCCTTGGGTTATTTGAAGGGAGGATTTTTAAAAGTCAAAAAGCTTCTCGAGAGACAATTTGTCTGCCATTTAGGACTGCTAATTCCAACTTGGGAAATTCCTGGAGATTTGGGGCTGGTGCCTGGACAGGTCAGAGGTGGGGGGGGGAGGGGGAGGAGGAGAAGAGGAGATTGGATTTATACCCCACCCTTCACTTGGAGTCTCAGAGCGGTTTACAATCACCTCCCTTTCCTCTTTCCATAGCAGACACCCTGTGAGGTAGGTGGCGCTGAGAGAGCTCTAAGAGAACTACTCTTGAGAGAACAGTTCTGAGAGAACTGAGACTGACCCAAGGTCACCCAAGCTGGCTTCATGTGGAGGAGTGAGGAATCAAACCCAGTTCTGAAGATTAGAATCCACCGCTCTTAACCACTACACCAAACTGGCTCTGGAGAAGGAAGTGGATGTGGTGCCATGGAGTTTGCCCTTTAAAACTGCCATATCCCCCAGGGGAACTGATTTTTGTAGTCTGGAGACCAACTATAATTCCATGAGAACTACAGGCTTCATCCTGAGGCTTGGTAACCTTGCTATCAGTACTGATTTTCCCTTGCCAAACAAAGCCACAAATTGAGTATGCTCTATGGCATACTCTCAGTCTGTTGGAGTAGAGAACACCCATATCACAGATGCCTTTATAAGGAATTAAGAGTAGGGAGTGCTATGGATTCAAGAGGGAAAAAGAAAGGCTTCCAGTGCTCCTTGACTTTCCCTACATGATTAAAAAGGGGGAGGAAGAACTTGTGTACATCATCTGGGGAATGCTCCATCAGCCAGTTGAAAATGGGCCTCAAGACCCAAACCTGTTCCTTTCTTTATAACTTCTAACAGGAACAACAACAAAATCATTATGTCATGTGGTTATAATAATCTATAATTTGATTATACCAAGGAACAAATCCATTTTTCCATTGCATACTTTGCCATTACCCACTCATTTTAAACCACATAAGGTATGAACTGCCTAAGTAATAAATCAAAGGAAGCTTTTACCTGGCCAGTTCCTGCTCAGCTTCTATTTTAGCTCTAATGGCTTTCCTCTCCAACGATGTGAGGCATGGTAGTCGACACGGACTGCAGCACAGAATGTCACAAAGGCAGTGCGGATATGGGTGGAGAGTACAACAACAATGTGGGTGGCAGCCTATGTCACAGAGGCAATGTAAGTGAAGATGTCTGTTGCAGAAGCTATGGCAGCAATGCATGTCCATGAACCTTAAACGCCTCTTGATTTCTCTGTCAGTTCGTCTTAAATCTCGCCTCACAGTTTCCAAAGCCTGACAGAGAGACGCCATTATTAAGCATTAAACCATATTAGTGTACGAGTACAACCTTTGACAAAGGGCACCCGTCAGAGGGAAAAAATTGGTCTGGCAAGCCCTGGCCAGAAGTTTGCTTTAAGAGCAAGCGCCTGGTGGTTTAGTTGTGTTCCAGCACGGTGTTTATGACATCATTGCTCTGCCATTACATCACAATTGGCCCATTGCCATGGGAACTGTAAACAGTGAGTATATTCTTGACAGCTACTCAATGCAAAGTACTACAGTGAAGAAACATGAAGAGTGGCATTTCATGTACAAAGTAGTCTAGGATTTCCAATTGTTAGACTTAGTTAAAAGTCTTTAGGAGCTCATATTTTGAATGTACTAAATCCTCTTAATATGGAACAAGTACCTTGTGGGTGTTTTTTAAAACTGTTTTCGTTTTATAAAATAATACAAACAATAACTCTAAATACCCACACCTATACCTTTACTATGTTGCTTGTCCACATGATTTATTACTGAAATACCATACTTATCAATACAATTAGACAGTATTCTTGTTTTGTTCTTCGCAACTGAGTGGCTTCCCTTTCCCAAAAAGAAATTAAGTTTCATTCCACTATAAATTGATCCATTTGTTATATGGGTGTTGAAGTGGGAATCAAAAATTCTGTTTGCAGCAACACTTTAAAATGGCCCCTTATTTGAACACACAAAAACAGACAATTGAGGCTTAAAGCAAAGTCAGACCCCAGCCAAACACAGTCAAGAAATTGTGCCATAAAGTTGGCAATTATTCAATTAAAGTTCAAAGTTCAGCTCAGAAATATTGTTAAAAAGCTGAAAGTATTCCTGAACCAAACTATTTTAATTACCTATGTACGGGGTAACAAGATTTGGAGGTAAGAATTCCTTCAAGCAAACTCTCCCTGAGGAAAAACTTGTTAGTTTAAAATGCATAGGGATTCCACTCATCTGAGCTTTTTATAAGTTCTCCCCTTGGATTTTACCCTGTTTATTTTACTGACATTAAGAGGAAAACTTTAGGAAAGTTTCATTAAGAAACAAGTTAAGTTTGCATATTTTTGTAGTAACTAGGGTGACATGAACTACAAATGTACCAAATTTGAGTTTTCCATATATTGGGGAAGTTCCTTAACTCTTTCTAATGATCTAGTGCCTCTGTAACAGCTGCCATTCAAACCCCCTCAAATGCCCTGGCAAAGGGTCAGGCCTTGCAGAGCCTCCTGAAGATCTTTGGGGGGAACTCACCTCTTCAGGGAGCCTGTCCACAGAGCTGGAGCTGTAATGGAAGTGGCCCAGATTCTGATCAGTCCCAGACAGGCCACCCCACAGGGGTGGGATAGCCAACAAATGGCTGCCTGATGACCGTAGTTGGGGCACAGGGACATTTGGAAGGAGATGGTCTTTCAAATGAAGTATGAAATAAACGAGTGTTTTGGTGTAGCACCTGTTTTGGATGGCTGAAAATGATTTATAGAACAATACAGTGGAGCACAGAGTCAAGTTCAAGGTTTTGGTTCTGACCTTCAAGGCCTTGAGCGGCTTGGGACCGACGTATCTGTGGGACTACCTCCTCCATTACACCCCCAGGAGAGCATTACGCTCTTCATGGAACAACTTGGTGGTGAGCCCTGGCCCTAGAGATATCCGGCTGTCCTCTCAACCAGGGCCAGGGCCTGGTGAAACTCTCTGCCAAATAACATCAGGGCTCTGTGGGATCTTATGTAATTCCACAAGGCCTGCAAGGTAGAGATGTTCCATCAGGCGTTTGGTTAAGGACAGTGACAGTTGACATCATGGCTGGCACCCCTCCTGGGACCTCAGTTCCTGTGGAGCCTACCCCCCTGTATGTGTGAAGCACTCACAGACCAGACGGGAGGGAACTGCAAAATTTTCAACACTTGCTCTTAATTATTGTATAATGCTGGATATGGCTTTTATATTTAAATAAATAAATGTTTTAATGGTTTTAGAATGTTGTACATCACCTAGAGCCCGATGGTCATCGGGATTAGGTGATTAATAAATGTAATGTAATAAATAAATACATCTGTTTGAGGTGGGAGGTAAGATCTCAAGCTACTCACCAGGAAAGAGGGCTGACACTTTTATTCTGATGGATAGGACTGGGATGGACATGAATGAACCAACATGCCACATTCCAACTGTTAGACCAGTCTGTCTATCACTTTGATAAATTATTCCTGGCTTTTACCCATTTGCACATGGTACTTTAATTTGCACACAGGACTCATTTTTTTTAAAAAAAAATTTAATTAAATTTTTCAACATATACAACAATACAACACAACAATCTTAACAAGAGATTTTTTCAAAATAAAGTTTTGATATACAATTGAATTATTGTAAGAATATAGAAATCACTCAAAATTAACAATGATAATAACTAGCAATAACAACAATTTGTTTAATACGAAATTATATCAATATATTTTTCAGGGAGGCTACAACTCTTGTTTTCTGAATTATTAACAAAATCAAAAAAGGGAAACCATTTTTCCAAGAATATGTTCTTCTTTGATAATACTTCAGCCACCCAAATTTGTGATGCTAATTTATCCATAACTGTTATATCCCATACCCTAATAAACCATTGGCGGATTGTAGGAGCTTTGTTAAGTTTCCAGGTTTGTGCAATCAAAGTTTTTGCAGCACTTAATAAAAGTGCAGCTAACTCCATTTTTAATTTAGTTAGCCATAAAGAAGGCCAAAAATTTAAAATAATAGATTCCGGGGTTTTAGGAAGATCACAATTAAGAATTCTATTGATCAGATCTATAATTTTGGACCAAAATTTTGCAATGATGGGACAATCCCACCAACAGTGTTTAGATGAACCTTTCTCTCTGCATCCCTTTTAACAAAGAGGGGGCGAGGAGGTATAAATATGAGAAAGTTTTGGGGGTGTCATATACCAATGAGTATATAGTTTGTAGTTTTGTAGTTTGACATTTAATAAAGATGTAGTAAATAGACTAGATGACCATATAGATTGCCACTGTGTTAAATTCCAATTCGTTCCTCAGTCTTTATGCCAAGACTGGTGTATTGTCAGTAGTTTTTCCCATAAAGATTTACAAAGTGATTGATATAAAATTGAAATTAGACCTCTAGAGGACCTGGTTTTATTTTTAATCAAAATTTCGAATTGAGTCAAAGGTCTATCCAGTGACTTTGTTGCATTTATTTTATGCATTAAGTGAGAAATTTGCATATATTGCAACCAGGGTATGTCAAATTTGCCCTTGAGTTCCAGTTGAGATTTGGAGATTAATTTTTTGTTTTTATACAGGTCATCCAATCTAAGCAGGCCATTTTTTTCCCGTAAGAAAAAAGAAGATGAATCCATTGCTGACCTAAACCAGGGTTGTCCTAAAAAAACTGTTATTGGAGAGGTTTCTGGAGCTAAAATATGACAATATTTAGTCCATAGATGTAGAGTAAATTTAAGATATGGTGTGATGACCCCTTTACTGGGGAGGTCTGGTTTTACTTTAAAAGTGTTCTTTATG